GTTTACAATCCTTTTGGCCTGCTCCTGCGAAACCGGGACAGAACTTTCCAATGGCATTTTGCCATGTTGAAGGAGAAGAGGAAAGCAGTTCCATCAAGACGTCACATAGTAATGAACAGTCAAAAGCAAATAAGAAGGAAGTCAGGAAAGTGGTAAGCTTGATGCTATCAAAATATAACTTATGACTATAGTTATGTAATGCTTATCGGCAAGAGATTATCCATCTTACCCTGATAATCTCTTGTTATCGGTTATTCGGTATTTCAAAAAGTACGCTTTCTCAAATACAGTCGAAATATCTAAAGGCAACTCGATGGTAACCCAAGCACACCACATGAAGCCACTGAATTTGCAGCTGGGAAGTGCTAGGGTTGGTTTAAAAAGAAAGTCTACTAAGATGTAAGAACCCTCAGGAGGTCTGCATTTAGATTGTATGCTGAACAAACATGCATCAAACGGAGAAGTGAAAAATTGAATGAGATTAACCGATCTTTTCTGAACTAATAACAGCCTAATCGTTGCAGCATATAAAAAATCAGACCACTTCTATGGGCTTACCGGCGCAACAAACCACGCGGGATGTTGGGAGAACGGCTAATGGCTCGTGATTTACAAGCTTTTCTCGTGTTCTCCCAACATCCCAAGTATATTGCACCGGTAATCTGGAAGATAGGGTGGTCTGCTGCTTAAATACATCTATTTTTGTTTCTAATAAAGCGTCACTGACACTTTTAGCTTTGATCATCTTTCCTTCGTTTGGATTGCAATTAACTCAACGGTATAGCTAGCTAACTACACACGTTTTTTCTTACCTTTCGAGTGATATGAGTAATATCAGTGATACAAAGCTAAAACAATTCTGAAGAACGTACAGATATTGGTTGCGAGCCCACACCCAGCACTAACTTTACCTGGATTTAAGGGTGAAGATTACTGGGGGTTGAGGGGGGGGGAGGGGGGGGTGAAGTCCATGGACAGCTACACGAGATCATCTGTACTAATGCTGACGTATTCCTTGTCAGTTGCAAGTGGCAGGTTCCTTAGTCTGCAGATACGACGTGGATGCGTCAAAAGTCGTGATCTTGTCACCTTACAGAGAACAGCGAAGCAAAATCAGCGAGTCTTTAAAAAAAGTCTACAGATGTAAAGATATCCCCGTCACAACCATCGTAAAAAGTCAGGGTAAATTCACTTTCTATACTTTTTTTGTATATTGTTAACATCTGCTTTTAACTGGAAATCACCGGTATCCCAATTAATGCTTCACATTATTAGCGCAGCACATCCCATATACAATGTATGCCGCGGTTTCCAGTCTGTATCGAGTATTTCTTCCTTTCACTTTTTTGTTGTTTATTGTCGTTTTGGTTGTTGCTGTTATCGTTGTTGTTGTTGTTGTTGTTGTTGTCGTTGTTTTCGTTTCTGCAACGTTATCTCCTCTTCACCTGACAGCGATATAGGCGGCGCCAGTGAAACTTGTTTATCCAA